TAGTGTGGCCAGCAGGGACAGGGAAGGGATCTTACCCCTGTACTCGGCACTGGTGAGGCCGCACCTCGACGACTGTGTTCAGTTTTGGGCCCCTCACTACAAAAAGGACATTGAATGACTCGAGCGTGTCCAGAGAAGGGCAACGGAGCTGGTGCAGGGTCTGGAGCACAGGTCGTACGGGGAGCGGCTGAGGGAACTGGGGGTGTTTAGTCTGGAGAAGAGGAGGCTGAGGGGAGACCTCATCGCCCTCTACAGCTCCCTGAAAGGAGGGTGCAGAGAGCTGGGGATGAGTCTCTTTAACCAAGGAACAAGCGATCGGACAAGAGGGAATGGCCTCAGGTTGTGCCAGGGAAGGTTTAGACTAGATGTGAGGAAGCATTTCTTTCCAGAAGGGGTTGTTAGGTGTTGGAATGGGCTGCCCAGGGCAGTGGTGGAGTCCCCGTCCCTGGAGGTGTTTAAGAGTTGGGTTGATACAGCGCTGAGGGATATGCTGTAGTTGGGAACTGTCAATGTTAAGTTAATGGTTGGGCTGGATGATCTTCAAGTTTTTTTCCAACCTAGACAGTTCTGTGATTCAGTGGGGAGAGGGAATGTATAGCTGGATTGACTGGGAAATAATTTTACTGAGTCATCCATTAAACTGACATCTAGCCTATTCGCCTTTAAACTGGGGGCCTTTGTTGCAGGCAGGGGTGAAAGGGACTGGTGAGGTGGGTGTTGCATGCGTGTCTCACCTTGCACACCAGCTGCAGCAGAGACTGCAAACTCTGAGCAGCCTGCTCCCAAATCAACTGCCCTGCCATGGTGTCAGGATTGACAAGGTCACCTGGCTTCCCTGAAGCTGAGACATGGTTTCCATCCTACCCAGGTAACTCTTGTGGGCAGTTTTTTGCTCATCTAAGACTCTCCCCTGTCATGTATGGGAGTAGCTAAAGGTCTAGACCTAGCTTTCTTTTTGCTGGAGTGACACTACGTACATGCTGAGAATTGCTAAAATATTAAGTACTCACAGTAACTTGCCCTTGTCTATGATCCCTATTAAAAATGACTCAAGAGTAAAGGAAACAACAATGCTTTTTAATGTTACTTGACTTGACTGTGACCATAGTACTAAGGCTCAGTTATTCATTGTTTAGAAATATTTTTCATAAACAGTATTATGCCAGGAATAAGCTGTTCCATCTCTCAGGATGGAAAAGGTATCCAACAGCGAAAGAACAAACCTGAACACCCATATCTATTACCAGTTATAGCTGCCTAATTGCAGCAATTTGTGCTCTGCTTTTGTTCTCTGGCTCATTATCCACAGCGGACCTGATTCTGCCAGGTGCTGATTCCTTCAATTGCCTTTGACCTGTGATTCTCCAAGTCATTGCTATTCAGCCTTGATCTTGCTGAGAACAGAGGTCTTCCAGCACCCCACAGGCTTAGGCCAATTGTGCATGATCTAAGTCAGAAGAGTTTGAAGCCTGCTGCTTCTCACTGCTTTTAGGCTTTTGGAAATAATGACTAATGGGAAGGTATCTCACCATACAGTTGTGCTATTTATACTGCACCAGCTTGGCTGGACAGATACAAAATGTTTAAATATAGGTATCTGAAGAGAGACCTTTTTTAAAAAAAATTCTTATAGCATTACAGGCCATTATCTTGCTATAAATATATGCAGCTTCTTGATTGAACTATGTGTCAGTATAATCATGCAAATCAGAATTTTTAAGTGCTTATAATTACCTAAATTTAACTAATTTTGGCATCATCTATTGATTTTACTAGTAGCAAGCACTGCTCCCAGGTCTATCAATAATGCATTATCTCACAGTAACGTTTCAAGCACTTATTGAGACATTTCAATTCAATTCAATTGCCAAACTTCCATTGGGGTCAGGATTTCACCATCAATAATAGCTATTGCATGTCACAGAGGTATGTTTTGGCTAAGACAATATTTACATGCTTGCACCATGCTTTGAGATGTTTAGATGAAAAGCAAGAGACAGCTATCTAGTATTGTTTTTATTCAAATTAGCCTCCATTGCCCTGCACCTAGTAAGGATGGCAGTAGAGTCTGTGGAGCGCTCATTATTTCTAGAAACCAGGCCATTAATTTACCTTTGTCTTTGGTTGAGGTTTTGGTTGGTTTTTTTTCCCCAGTTTTCTTAATAATGATAATAATACTGCCCTAACTCACAGAGGATTTGCAATGCTTGGCTCATTAATGCTTTTTGAAGCCCTTTGAGTCTTCAGGTGGAGGGAGCTGTAGGGCATGAGAAGTCAAAATTTATGTTTAATTAAGATAAATTCCATACAAATAGATTATAATTTTCAGAGTTTCCTGAATCCCTAGCCAGAGTGAGGTCACCAAAGAAATTAGCAGGTTCTTTGCTTCCATAAAGAATGTATGATTTGGCATTTCTTTTTCCCAGAAAATAATAGGACTTTTCAGTGCTTTACAGATTCTTATTAGATCAGTCTTATGCATTCATCCACTCAGTCACAGCCAAAGTTTATCATTAATAGGACTGGGTGAAAATGAAAAGCAATTAGTGTAGAAAATATTATCCATCCATATAATCTGATTATTGAGTAAAACAAATTGTATGGGAGAAAGAATTTCTCATTTTCCTGACACAATTAAACAGTCAATAACATCAGCAATTATTTATTTTTGTTATCAGTGCTACTGAGCACTATTTAAAGATGGTACCTTTTTCCGGAGGTATTGTATTAGCCTGGTGTTTTGTATGTGACACTTGTTTTTTTTTTCTCATCTTTTTTTCCCTGAAGTCATGTTCATATTTTATGTCCAATGCTCTTCCATTAAAAATCTCCTTCATCAATGCAAATGCTCCAAGTGGAAACATCAATGTTATTTTTAAGGTATGTTCTTCCTCTGATCCTCAGTTCCTTTTGTATGGAAAATGTTGATTTGAAATTCACCTAATTTATGTTTTAAACCTTGAGCTTCAGAATGTTTGATTTGGCTTTGCTGTTCACTTTTCCTAATTATTTTTTACACTAGAACTTTCAATGGAAGATGTTGAGGCAATGCACTGAAGTACCAGTGTTTTGACTGGTAGACAATCAAATGACTTGCATTATTTTTTTTTCTTAGTGGAGACAACCAGGCTAAAATATTAAGTTTATATTTTAAACCTAGTTTATTTACCACACCAAAGTCTCAGAGAAGAGATAATTCAGAACGACTGAATCCATTAGCCTTGTCTGTATTTCTCTAACAAACCAAAATACTGGAGTGTTAGAGACTGCATTTGCTACACAGAATTCTGGCCCTATTAGCCAGCATAGGGAAATGGCCTGAGGAAGAGGGAGGTGAAGAGGACAGCAGAGGAGCTCTGTCTTATTGGAGTTACTTGAAGGAACTGACTCTGAAAATAAACTATGATTTATTTTCCAGTTGTCACCTAGAAAATCTTCAGTGCTTAGGACAGTGCTGTGTCCATCCACAAAAGACAATACATTCAATTTAAAGTTACTTCTCTTTCAAAAGAGAAGAAGTCTTCCATAACAGTGGATACTGTTTTTAGAAATGAATGCTGAAGTTCATGAAGTGTTTGATGGATACAAAATGGTCAGTGTTTCCAAAGAGATTATTCCTAGATCTTTTCCAAAGAGATTATTCCTAGATCTTTTCCAAAGAGATTATTCCTAGATCTTTTCCACTATCATTTTCCAAACCAGAAGTCTAAAATATTGATTAAAATATATTTTTTTTTAAAAAAGAAAAAGATTTCTAGGCTGTCTTGAATTAAATTGACCTTTAGAGCAGCTGCGATTCTCAAGAATAGAAGTACGCTTTCCGGGCATGTTAGGAGGAGGCTAGCAATGTTAAGTTTTTTGGAACATTTAGAAATCTGATTCTTATGCTATTTCATCTGAGAATCGATGTTAAATAGACAGGTTTCTACTTGCTTCAGCAACTTGAGCAAATTGCCTGCTCATGGGGCATTTAAACGTTTGTGCTGCTCTTACCTAGACAGTATTTTTCCTGCCCAATAATGTTCAACAAACAACATCTGTTGAAACCTGGATTTCCTGTCCTTCCATCACCTTCTCCTGCCAGCAAACCATTGTGTTAAAGTATCCTTTACTTGTACTATAGTTCCACTGTTTATTTATGATGGATAATGCGTACATAAAATGATAAGCACTGATATCATACTAAATTGTCTACTGAATATATATGTGAGGGAAGGAGGGAAGGTAAATGGAGAGAATAAGATTTTTCATAGGTTTAGATACTTTAGGAGTCAAGATTACTTTTAAATGAAAGAAAAATAAATTTGGATTTTTTTTTAAAGTCTCTTCAGGTACTCCTTTCGTGGCAGTAAATGTTTGTAGATTAGAATACTTAAATAAAAAGAATGTCATAAAATAAGAACACACTTAAAAATACTGTAAAATCGCATGTATTTTGGATGGGGTGGAGAGGAGGTAATAAAAATAAGCAAGGCTTTTGTTTTCACAGGCTATTTACACAGCCATAGTTGAAAATAATCTCTTCATTACTTCTTGTGGCTACAATTAAAGCCCCATTTCACTAAGATTATTGTTTGACTGACTCCATGGGGGGAACAGTCAACACTGCATAACTGTTTGAAACTGAATATGAATCATGTCACAGATAAAATATAAATTCATTATTAAATTCCCATTTGGCCTGCTGCAAATACCAAGTTGTGAAGCTTAATGTTAGACAAATGCTGTCATTTGTGAAAAGGGATCTAACATTATGTAGACTTTAAAATGTAACTAAATTAAGATCCTTCTTTTGGACTAAATTTTCACAGTCTAATAATTCCATAGGAATAATAAACTGAAAGGCTGCAGTTAATCAGTGAGTATTTGTTACCATTTCAGTGGCTGCCAAAACTGTTTCTGCATATGTGTGACATCTACTCCGTCCTTTTCCAACACGAAAAGATAAATAGCAACTTTGAAGAAAAACAAGAGGGATTTACTGTAGAATGAATGTAGCTATTTTGGTGGGGAGGAAAAAAAAAAAAAAAAAAAAAAAAAAACTGTCTGGTATTGAAGGAGAAACTTCAGTTTCTTGTGCAATTTTCACAGGTAGGCAATGATCTATGTCAAGACATGCTGGTTCTGCAAATTATTTGAATGATGGACAGCATTTGACTCCAAAAGGGATTGCAAATGCAAATGTTCATTTATAAGTATCTAAAGGAAAAGGCCAAGGTCAGTTTTAGATATAAAAGTTACCTGTATTACTTTATTCATATTTCATGTAAACAGCAGTATATAAAAATCCTCCCTTTAACTTTCATTTTCATGGGTGTCTTATTTATCTTCCCCCTTAAAGAAAAAAAAAAAATGCTCAGAATTTCAGTCACTCAAGCCCCGAATTGTATGCTGCCTGCTCCTGAATGTTCATTTTATTTATTCATTCTGCCTCTCCAGGAAAAGTACAGCCAAACTCATTGAATTTTGTAGCAACTTAGGCTAGAATTTTCCAAAAACCTCAATACCATCAGCTTGCACTGGATTCTCAAAAGTAACTTCACACATCAAAAAGAGGGCTTTGGAGAAAATTGTGCATAGCTACCAAACTTTCAACCCAGTGGGAACCTGCGTAGATGCTTAAATGAACCTAGATGCATGTGGCTACAGAAAGTACCTATAGACAAGTGATGGCATCTTCACAGTGTTGATTTTGAAATATTACTGTTGCAATTTATGCTCTTTAAGGCATGCCTGACTCATCTGAAAGCTTTATTTCTCTCTTTTATGATTGTTATAGCAGAGCTGTAGCAGGGATACCAATTGCTTGCTAAAGAAATTTACTGACAGCAACAAGTTTACTATTTTTTACTGACTCTCCAAATATTTTACTGAAAATAATCCTTGCATAAATAGAAGACTGATATATCCAGATTACCTGTTGTATAAAAACTATTAAAAAAAAAAAAAAAAAGAAAAAAGAAAATATTACTTTCTGAGCTACAAAGAGAAAATGAGAGAGGATGCATGATCTGAAGGAACTAGGAGAAAATATAGATGAGTTCATGCACATGGTGGGTGGTTAAGGTGACCTGAGAAAGACTCTTCCCTTCTTTGTAGAGATGGGAGTCGAAACTTGAAGGCTTCTGCTTCAAAGGCAAATCTTACAAGAATACTATTTCTGAATGTAATATTATAGTCTCTCTTATATACTAAGTCTTAATTTGACTTTTGCCAAGAAAGATCCAGGGATCGTCTGCAAATAATACTCTCTGCCTGACAGTCTTTTCCTTTCAGCACCGTAGCAGCAGAAAGCTTCTTGGTGTCTGACAGATTTTCCACACAGCATCTTTCCTTATGAACTACAGAAGTGTTAATATAGTTGATTTACAGTTAATGATTAAGGATAAAAGGACCAAGTGGCATGCCTGTGGTCATACAGGACATGTGCTTATGTAGATTTGTGTACCCAGGTCTTTCAAGTCTTAGGCTAATGACTTGCTCCATGGGCCACGTTTTCCACACAAAGGACGTAGAAGATTATAATTTCATAGTCGTGGGAACATGGAAATCACTCTTCACAGAAATGTGAAAAGCCGATAAAGCACTGGTATGCCACTTTCCAGTCATGGTATAGTAGAGGAACCTGTCACCAAATTAAATTGTTAGAAGTCCTTCCTGTAATGCAGGGGTTGCAGGATGACATGCCAGGGGACCACACATGGGGACAGGGACAGGAGATTGGCAAACCAGGTCTCAGTTCCAAAAAAGGAATTAAGTGCATGCAGTATAGACAGAGGATTCAAGTGAAGCATTGCAAAATGCTTGGCTTCTCTCTACACTTCAAAGTCCCAGTTTATGTCATATTGGATCAGACTAATTTCCGCACTATCCAGTAACCTTTCTCCCAGCTGCGATCAGCATCACATACTGCAGACAAATTTGTGTAGCATTCTAGACAGTAAACACATATGAAATAACTTTATATTTTATAATAAATATCTGATTCTATTTTTTAAAGATTTTTATTGGTTTTGTAAGTATTCTGCCCACTTTGGATCTCATTAAATTGTTGGTCCTGTTGGTACCTTGAGGCAGTTATGTCCACAATATTGTTACTGGTGTTTTTATTTCTCATTCGCAGAACTACCACTTTTTACTAAGTGTCTTGGTTTTTTGCTCCCAAAGCGAAAGAGAAAAGCAATCCTGATCTACATTTTCTATTGCATTCATGTCATGGTTTAACCCCAGCCAGCAGCTAAGCACCACACAGCTGTTCACTCACTCCACTCCTCCAGCAAGATGAGGGAAAGAGAACTGGAAGGGTTAAAGTAAGAAAACTTGAGGGTTGAGATAAAAACAGTTTAATAAGTTAAGCAAAAGCTGCGCATGCAAGCAAAGCAAAACAAGGAATTCATTCACCACTTCCCATCAACAGACATGTTCAGCCATCCCCAGGAAAGCAGGGCTCCATCGCCACCACTCTGAATATCACCCCCTCCTTCCTTCTTCTTCCCCCAGCTTTATATGCTGAGCATGACACCATACGGTATGGAATATCCCTTCGGTCAGTTGGGGTCAGCTGTCCCAGCTGTGTGTCCTCCCAACTTCTTGTGCACCCTCAGCCTTCTCAGCCTACTCACTGGTGGGGTAGTGTGAGAAGCAGAAAGGGCCTTGACTCTGTGGAAGTGCTGCTCAGCAAAAATGAAAACATCTCTGTATCATTATCACTGTTTACAGCACAAATCCAAAACATTGCTGCATACTAGCTACTGTGAAGAAAATTAACTCTATCCCAGCTGAAACCAGCACAATTTATTATATTATAAACTTTTAAGCATGTATTTTGTCTGCATGGAATGATCCAACAAAAGGCAATACGCACTGACATTCTTCATATATTTTTTAAGTTGAAGGTTTTTTATGGAAACTCTTTTCTATCTTATTAGGATTGGTACAGATGGTGCCAGATGCTACCACGCTAGTGAAGATCCACAGGGAGTCTGGACTGATAGGACCATTGAAAGAAAATACAATTAAAAAATGGTTCCATCATCATCATCCTCTGGAATCAAGTTACCGAGAGCTAGCATTATAATGAAGCTTATTATGCATTTCATGTTTTACCATGGGAAAAAATAAACCAAATGGCAGTAAGAAGTGAAAACAAATGACTCAGACACAAGACAAACAAGTCACATGCATAGAAGCCAGGGAATTGACTTAAATACCAGTCTCTTTCTATGAAGATATTGCTTTGGATCAGATGTATTGTAAGACATTTTCTATAAAAATGTGTCAGAGATGTTTTGAAATTTAGAAATAGAGAGAGGCTGAAGTAGAAATTAAGTATTGAACTCAAAACCGTTTCTATTTTAGGTCAGCTCTCTAAATATTTTATATAAACCATGCAAAATTTCCGTGGATTTCTTGTATTTGGAAATGACCATGTCGATACCCACAGTTTTAGAAAGCTGTTTTATCAAAACTAGTTAGTCATATGAAACATAAGATGACGCTTTTCATATCATATTGTGGGATCTCATGTAATGTATCTGCTTTTATGAAACTAGACATTATGTATGAGCCAAAAATTTGGAAATTATATTTATAGAAGCAGAGCTTTCCCAAGGAACATTTTCTATTAATTCTTTGTTGGCTGAGCATGTTCTGAGGCCCATGAAAAACCTTTTACTGTTTGTGTTACTAAGACAGTTTTTAGAACCCTACTCTGTGCTTACAGTAGATTAGTAACCAACATTTTATATTTAAAGGGGAGTTTTGAGTGTTTAGCACTCTGAAAATGAAGTCCTTTTCTAACAGCTCATTAGTAGATGTATAGTATAAATATGTTCAATAAACTTTAGTAATTTTGTAATTCTATAGGCATTTTTCATCCACATTTTCAGTAAGAACACTTGAATTCATAGTATATCACCTTGATTCAGTTAAACAAGAACAATCTGTATAGAATGATTTTGTTTTTTAACAAGGTTGTATATTTATAGTGTTACGGTTGAAGTGCAGCCAACATTTCAACTGAAAAGTGACATACTATTAGTTATTGATTAAAACCCTGATTTCTTAATGTGGACTATTCTAAAACTAATTTCTACACATTTTCTTTCAATTTTTTAAACACATAAGTACAACTGGATCTGATTGCATGGTGCAGGCATAAAATTACTACTGTGCATTCACTTTGCACTTTGTGGTGTATGAATCTTTCTCTTTTTTTTACTCCTTAATAATTTTTTACTCATACAATACTGTATTTAAGGTGCTTAAAAACTAATGCAGAATAAGGTTTAATATCCTCATTTTACAGTTGGGTGAACAAAATCATAAAAAGCTTAGGTGTTTTATCCAAGGTTATCAAAGAGAATAGGTAGTACAGTTAGACATAAATTTCAGCCAACTCTTGTGCTATGCATTAAGTCTTCCACAGTGCTGTCATCCATATCAGCCATTGCAGGTGGCACCCTGCATCTACAGGGAAAACCTGAATGCCTCAAAAGTTATTTGCCTTGGCTAATGTAGATTTTGTCCAAAAACATAAAGATCACAGATTAGGAATGTTTTGGTTGCTATATAAATTAATTACATTATGATTTAGATTAATGGGAAAATAAGGAACTTCTGAATAATTTTCTGCTTTTTCAGTTCTTAAACTCTAGTAGGTAAGATTTTAAAAAGAAAAAAGCTATTCCTTATGCTTTGGGGTAGAAGAGTGATCATCATTTGAATCAGGATTAACTCTCCCCTGAAAGGGAACACAATATATGTGTTGTGAAACAGGTTGGGTAGGTTCTTCTACTGGAAGTCACAGTTTTTAAATACATCCCACTGAAGTTAGCAGAAAACTTGAAATCCATCTATGGGTGTCTGGTGAGCAGATCATTAGCTTGTAGATTTTTTTACATCTGCTATGGGCACATTTTTGGCAAAGAGCAACTCCACAATGTAATATTGTAGAGACAGATCTGACTGAGCCAGTCTACTCACAGGAAGCAGACTAAACATGAAAGTGCACATCTCTGCCATGTAAAAGAGAATCAGAGGAGTGGGTTATATTAATGACTGCTAGACTGGGCTTTGGTTTATTCACTCTCTTGAGGGTCTCTGCACAACAGTAGGTTTGATCCCATAGTCTATTCAGATTTGCAGATTCTAATTCTATGAGCAGAAAACAATTTAGCCATTCTTTCTTTCAGTTCATTTCAGTAAAATGGGGTTTGATTCTTTGGGTTGGTATACTATGACTTGATTACTTGGGATCTGAGAAAAGCAATTGCATTGGAGAAAAAAAGACCCATGTAGGTACAGAACAGTACAGTGGGTGCAAAATAAGCTACTTTCTTTACAAAGCAAACAGTTAAATTTGTGGATTTCCAATTAATTTCCAAGCAATTGTTTTTACAATATACATGGAGGGTGTTGAACAGAAATATCAGCTTCCTGCTGAGAAGCTTGCTTTACTTAGGTACATTCCACCTTAGAAGTTTTCCACAGAATTCCAAGTATCCATAAAACACAAATGGAAAACCTCATGCAGAAAATTGTTCTTGCATTGCCATTTTGAAATTTGTGTATTACTTGAGTACCGTTCCTATGAACACCTGTCTGTTAAAATTTTAGCAATACACATAGCATTTGTAGAAGTACAATTTTTTATTTTCTTGTTAGTGTCACAAACAAATGTATCTGTTTATATATATATTTCTAGTAAGTGCTTTTGTTTCATTAACCAGACATTAAGGAATTTCTTTTATTTGTGCACTGTCTGGTATGTTGTTACCTTCATTCTGGGAGTCTGATCGACACAGTGACAATGTAATGCTGACAAATGCTGGACACATGTTCTACATAAATTTTGCAAGATTTTTAGGTCACACACAGACATTTGGAAGCATAAGAATGTCAGTATCTATAGTAACGCACATAGTAAGCTTTAGAGCAATGTTCTGAAATTTCACAGCCTTTTCATCTTCCATGGAAAAAATACAAACGAGATCGTGCTTTTTTCCCTGAGTTTTCCAAAACAACATCTTTTTGTTATTCACAAAACTCTAAAAATTATAAGAATAACTGGAAAAGAAATTAAAAGTAGATGTTGAAGATCCCCTTTCAGTCTAAAAAGAAAAATTAAAATTCTTGTTTGGTCAGAGATTTCAGTGATACAATTAATTAGTGACCACAATAGTAGATTGGACTATGCCAAAAGAATTCTGATTTCCATTCTGGTTTTTATTGTTTGTTTGGTTAGTTTGGTTGGTTTTTTTTTTTTCTAATATACAAGTGTACCTATAATCTTAAACCACAGATGTTCTAAATTACCACTTTCTTCCCATATTCAGAGAAGAAACCAAATTTTCCAAACAGACACGGAGAAGAATTATATTATGCATCTGTGGGTAAAATTACAAATTTTTTCTTTACCTTTTGAAGCCTGACATCTAACCAGACTGAGCTCAGGGGTTGTTTTGCAAATATCTGATTTTACCTACAGAGGACTGTGATTTCTCTGTTTGTATCTATCTGTGATGTAACTATCCCATGATAAAGATAAATAAAATAGTGTGATCATGTATTCTAGTTCCTAATTTGAACATATGGAGGAATGAATTGGGATGGAATAAGAATAAATAGGACAATGCCAGTATGTGCAAAACACAAAGAAGCTGTTATAGCAGAGAATGGATAAATGATCCCCAATACTGATGAGTAGTGTGTGTGTGTCTTTCCTCCATGTTTCCTAATAATTTCCAGAACTAGTCCCAGAATTATGTTTGAACTAATTTTTCCCTTCTCTTTTTTCTTTTTTTTTTTTTTTTTTTAAGATGGCCTTTGACTATTCTAGTCTATCTCAGTGTGTGTGTTAGAAATAAGTGTGAGAGTATTGATATGAGGGAAGCTTATGGGGATAGTAAGTTCTTCTAAACCAGGTAGTCAAAAGATTTAGTTGCAGTGCTGAGAATTATCATCAATCATTCAAGATATGCTCCCTTAATCTTACTTATTTGCTGTGGAAAAAAAAAAAAAAAAAAAAGCAGAATAGAGTAATAAAAAAAGATACTCATGTACGCTCAGAGTGAAGTGCTGCATCCCTCACTTCAGCAAACCTCCTTTTGGAGCCCAACGGGAATTTCCTTGAGCAGTAATTTTACATGAGCAAAGAACCATCTAGTTTGAGTGAACAATGGGACAAAGCAAATATATGGGGGACACAACCAATTTTAAACAGAAATCATGTAATAGCATTAGTAAAAATAGATGTTAATTTTATTACTTTACAACTCAGTCATACTACACCTTCTTATTGACTCTAAAATGACTTAAAATACTGTCACTTCCATAAACAGCAACCATTTTTTTCCTGTTTCTCCTTGTAGTATATTGCTTTTAAACTATTGGATAAAACAATATATTTTAGGACCTCCATTCATGGAGTGCCCTCATGGTTCCTTAGTAAAACTAGCACTCACACTTAACAGCAGGTTGTGAACATCATGGGATAATGGTTGTCTTCCTCATATCTACATACAATTGATCAGATATAGTATTAATGCCTATAGTTCTCATAAGCTGTATGCACCTTCATGAAATGTAACATATTATTTGTAACACAGGAACACTGGGATATGCACTTCTACATCCCATAAGTTTCAGACTCTCAAAATTTGAAACCCTCAGTGCTATTTGTAGCTACTAATTCCTACAAGGCAAAACCTGAAATAGGTTTAATCCCTGGTTTCTTTAACAGCACTTTATATTAGATTTTCATTTGAGTTATTCGATTTTTATTTGAATTCTTAGCACTCCCCAAAATATCATAACCTTATAATAATATTGATAAAACAGCATCACAGTGCTTTCAAATCTTCAGAATTATTAGTTCTGACCCTGGAGTAGATGCTAAGATGATGAAAAGCATCTGATACAAGTCCTTATACATGCAACTGGTCTTTACATATATCACACAAACTTTTTTTTTTTTTTTTTGTAAAATGAAATCTATGCAAGGGAATGAAGGCTTATAGAAAAGGAGTCCCTATCTGAACTGTTTATAATTGTCATTCCTTTCAGAATTTAGGAAGCTGCTTGCCACAGCTGTCCATTTTCTGTTCTCAGAGAGGGCTTTTAGTCATTACCAAACTCTTATTCTTCATAAAGCTTCATGAGGATAGGTCCTCTGCAGTATTCTGCATCTGAGTATTTCTTCTGACGTAAATAAAATGAAAGGCATACATGGCAGCTTTGAGAATCACACGCTGTCAGGCATGGGCTGCAGTTCTTTCTATCAAATTCAATATGAGTCTTCAGAGAACCCTCTGAAGCTGATATGATTCACACAGTCATGTTCACTTTTGCATTCATGATTGTATAACACCCCAACGAGGGATTAGTTAAGTTTTCTAATTTCTGCCTTCATCTTTAAATGATGCCCAATAAGTCTGCTCAGTTTTGAGTCCGAGGCATGAATCGGTAGCTCAGCTCTTACAGATTTCAGAGGGAAGAGGAATCAATAACTTTTTCTTTTCCAGTTCATGTACCTTCACAGTGCAGCAAATATGTTAAATAGTACTAATAACCTGTCCTTACTTGAGTCTAGGAACTAATGTTTCAGAAGTGTTGGAGGGAGATATATGATGTATCTAACCAATAGCATACTAACAGCTTGGCAGGAGGAATTATTCCCAAAGTCCCAAAGGGAACTTTCCTACTGAACCATGAGATTTTTTTTTTTTCCCTAAATCATACAAGATGACACATTTTGTTAATGGTAATAAAATACTCCTTCTTTCATTCTCTAATCCAGTCACCACAATGTACCCTACCTTCCCCTAAAGTAGTGAATTCTGCAGGCACACTTCAAACTGTATGAAAAAATATTACTCGTTTCATATGTATATTTCATAAAACCGTCCTATTCTTTATCTACTGAGCATTCTGTGGCAATCATCTTAGACCCATTCCGAGTTAAATAGGTGTAATATCATCCAGGTAATCATATGGGACTAGGTCAGTCATCAAATGGTACGGAAAAAGGTGTCTGGCTCATGGTTGTATGTGCCATGCTTTCTTTGCTTTTGTTTTCTTCTTTTCAGTTCTGACCAGTTCTTTTTGAGAATTTCTTCTTTGGTGAACTAAACAATAAGAGATTTATTTAAATTCTGTACTAACCGAGCTAATCCTAACTTCAGCACTCTCCACTACCAGTCAATTCCAACACTGTCATCTATATTTTTTCAGTTAACGTCATGTAGTCTGAAACCTGATGGCAAGATATAGAGTAGTACAGCTCATGGCACACTGCAGATTCACCTTTTGATAACCTAGGTGTCCTTTCTTCTTTTTAAATACCTAGTCATCCTGTTTATTTACAACACTCCCTGGCTTTTCTTTTCTCTGATCTGAATCACAGAGACCATCTTGTCTCTTTGCCAAACTAATTCCACATCTTGGTGTGGTTTTCCCAGAATTTAAATCTGCTAAGCTGGTTTTCCTCTACAAAGTTAATTACCAGAGGCAGCCTCACTATTCCATTGGGAAATTACATTTTTTTGAAGGATGTTTCAAAAATATGGGAAAAATATCTTCCCACACTTTCTTCTTATGTCAGTGTTTTCCTATACTGAAAAACACTTAAGAAAGCCTGAGCATGTAGAAAAAGTAGAAGTACCTCATTTTATTTTAAAAGAAACACTTTTCATTTTTAATGTAACTAACCTAAAATAAGTGTTAGCGTCTCACTGGGAGTGTTTATTTGAAAAAAAAAAAATGCATTATTTTCAGGTATTTTCTTCTAAAACAGAAAAGTTGGCATACAGACAGGGAAAATTAAGTTGTATTTCCATTCTTTGACTACATTGTATCTGTATGTGTCCCACCTTTTTCCTAAAAATAGGAAAAAGTGGGGAAGAAAGAAGATTGGAATTTCAGAATTTCACATTTGTTGCCTTTAAAAAATTTTATTTAGCATACTCATCAAACAAAGTGTCTAAAACTTGTAAGTAAAAACTTAAAGTATAATCACTGTTGATTTTTTGAATTTGTGCATGAACCTGCATTACCTGCTGAAAGATTCCATTAGGAATTTTCAGTATGCCTCTTTATTAATTCATTTTTTACAGTTAAATTAATTTTTTCTGACATGATCGATCTGGAGTTATTAGTTCATGTGAACTGGTAACTCCTAATTATTTGCCACCATCCACTTTCAGCACTTCCTATATGTCACCCTCCAAAAATCTCTGACTGAAATCCTGGAAAGATTAAATTTAATGACTTAAAGCCCCTTAATAGCCCCAATGATCTTTATAAGAATATACAGATGTTTAAAGATAGTCATGCACATAAGTCTTTGCATAAAGATGGAAAGGTGAAATGGATAAAGACCTAAAGGTGAAAAAAATGTCACCTCCAAGGTAACAGGGCCTAAAGGGTCTGAATTTATGAAGCAAGAAGTCCATCAGTTCTGAAAGTCAGTTGTCTCTAATTGCCCTGAATTAAACTCCAAAAGCACAAATCGAGTCTGAGAATATATGAGCAGCACAAGTTGCAGTTGTGAGTTTCAGATGCACTCCTGTTATCTTTGTCTGCCTTGAAGAATAGGTGTTTATTGTTGCTGTTTTGGTGATTTCTCTAATTATCAAGCCTGGATAGTAGTTACAATTGGTTGTTTGTTTTCACTAATAGCCTCCTGTGGAGGCCATTCAATTAAAGCTTTTTGAAATTGGAGTAAATTATATTCACTGTCCACTTTGTATCCTTAATTTTTGTATTTATCCTTTTCAAAGTACCCGGACAGTTAAGAGGCGCATGGATATAATCCTATCCAGTTTTATTCGCCCAGGTGTGTTGTTCTTCTGCTGAATGGTGTTCCCTGGAACGCAGTTCTCATCTGCCACAATTCTCA